ATCAAATTAAACCATTAATCCTTTCTTTAAGCTCACAACCAAACACATCACAAGGTTAGAGATATATGTTACTTGCTTTCATAAGTATGGAATATCAAATAACAAGTATGGATTGTCCTCCCATTTAACATCTAAACTACAACTACACTATAATTAAGCTAATGACATGAAATTAAACTAATTAAACTAAGGGAGAGGTACAATCCATCAAGAAATGAGTATGAACCATTAAATAAACCACAAGAACATTCCATTAAGCACTATGTCTTGATAATATCTAGATCTATAGCATTAATACACATAGATATGCATCAATAACACAAGAAATAGAGATAAACATATGAACATCTATTCTAGCATACATAGACATATGGACAGAATGAAATGATCAATTGGAAGCATTAAACCATATAAATCATTGAATAAACAAGATCTATATATATAAAAGTGTCAAAACATGTATCACAATACAAATGCCCTCAAAAATACATAAATCAAGATTTAGAAAGCATGTTTAGGGCTAACTCTAGCCCCAAGAGGATGTCTAGCCACTCATGGATGGTGTCATCCAACCCTCAAGGGCTAACTCCATGGTAGAGATTGCTCCTCTTCTTGGTTGATGGAAGAACTCCAAGCTTGTGTCTCTAGCCTCCTCCTCTCATTTCTTCCTTGCTAAGATATGAAAATTGTGTTTGCCTAGTATAAAGTCTCTAGTCTCCAAAAGTATATCTCAAAAGTGGCTCATATTCCTTATATAGGTAGGTCAAAAATCACCCCAAATGAGCTGGGCTCGTACACCAGTATCCCTCCAATGATTGGATATGAAACAACTTTTAATGAGCTGGAATTTGGATTTTCTTGGAATTTGGGAAGTTCGATCGATCGACCTTATGGTGAGATCGATCAAACTTGGCTGAGATCTATCGAATTGAAGCTGGATCGATCCTCTATGATGGCGCCTTTTTGGATAAAAACAAATTTGAGATATTATGAAGATATTTTTGGGAAAAGGACAAAAGTTGTTGGTAAGGTGGTATAGCTGGATAAGATCAATCATTTGTATAAGGACAAGAATGTTCGGTCGATCAGAGAATCAAGTTGGATCGAACGAACTTTGAGATCTCTGAATAGGGACAAACATGGCTCAGATCCATCTTTAAGTGCTGAGATCAATGGCAGTTGGATCAATCAAACTTTTCTTGAGATCAATCGAAGTTGCTGAAATTCCACCATTTACTTCCTTTTGCTCTACTTTGCTCCTTTCTTTGATTCATCCCAGAATTGCTTTATTTCTGCTCTTATTTGGCTGAGTTAGCTTATTTTGGAGATAAGTACCTAAAAATAGAAATAACACGAAATTAATGTAAAGTGGGAAAATAAGATAGATAAAGGTTCTAGAATACCTAAGCTTAAGGGGTTTAAATGCGCATTTTTCAGCGCTCATCACCGGTTTATGAAGAATTCACGCAAGCTACACTGGGAAGTAGTGAAGTGGATATTGAGATATCTACGGGGTACCACAGACAGATGCTTATGTTTTAGAAGGCATGAGGTAAAGCTACATGGTTATGTAGATTCAGACTTTGCAGGTGAGGTAGACTATAGAAGAAGTAATACCGAGTATGTGTTCATGGTGGGTACAACTGCAGTTAGTTGGGTTTCGCAAATATAGAGGATTGTAGCGTTATCTAATACAATGGCAGAGTATGTGGCAATGACAAAGCCAACAAGGTTATGATTTGGTTACAAGGTTTGTTGACAAAGTTGGGATTTAAATAGGTGAAGAATGTTTTGCACAGTGATAGTTAGAATGCGATACATCTGATAAAGAATTCAACATTTCATTCAAGGACCAAGTATATAAGACTTCGGTATCACTTCATTAGATCTTTGTTAGAAGATGAGGTGTTAACACTTGAGAAAATACTTAATTGTCACCAAGAATCCGACTGACATGTTGACCAAGACAGTAACCATGGAGAAACTGAAGTTGTGCACAGCTTCAGTCAGTCTTCTATCTTGAAGACAGAGATAAACGCACCGACATGCATAAGACATACGTAAGAAGAAGATGGCACGGGTTTACAAGTGTTCCAGCCTCCAAGTGGGAGATTATTATGGTTTTGTGGAGTCTGTTATTTAGTAACTTCAATTTCCTGATCTGTTTTTAATTCCTTATTGGTTTTGGACTCTACAAAAGGCAAGTTCTTGTAGGGCAAGTTTGTGACTATATATATATATATGAACTCTAATAAGATTTTAAGGTGCGGAGAAAAGTGAGAAGAAAAAAGAGAGGATCATCATACATGTTGTATGATTGATTAATTTGTTCCAACAATAGAGAGCAATTTAGAGAGATTGAGAGAAAATACTCCATTGTAATTCTTTATATTTTTCATAGTGAATTTGTTCGGTACACTCCATGGATGTAGCCCTAAGATTTGGGTGAACCATGTATATCTTGTGTTTTTGTGTGTAATTTTTTATTTATTTATCGTGATTGCTTGATTATTTCTCGAATAGCGTTGTTTATTTTGCGTTTCCGCTCCAACAACTGGTATCAAAGCATCCTGTTGATTGTGTAGCAACTCTAATAAGTATATAGATGTAGGTTCATAAGAGATGATGAGTGAATGAGTGGGGTTTTGATATCTGGTTGTATATTTTCTTCCTTGATTTAAAATAGCGAAATCTCTCTCTCCATTGACACAGGCTTAAAGTTGGGTGAATCGTGTAAAATATTGTATTGTGAGTGGATATGTATGATTGTTATCTCTATAAATGCTTGTATTGATGTGATGTGATGTAATTATATTTTCGTTGTGTGTGATGAAGGAGGGATTTAACTCTCAACAATAGCCGACCATTGAGTAGGCTGAAGGGAGTTAAGATCCTCAACATTTTGTCCTCTTCGTAGCACAATCGAATCATCGTTCCTTCAAATTTGAATTTGTGAAGGGTAAATGAAAACCCCACTTCTCTTAATGGAATTAATCTTCTAAATTTTCAACATATATGAACTTCGATAAGATAGAGAACACCATCCTAATTTCGAGTTGACTTATTCCGAACACATCCATCTAATTAAATATGCAACAAGGAAAAAACAAAAGTTCCAACTCTTATGAATTAAGTGTGATATTTATAGAGAATTGAGTGGAATGAGTGTGATATTTATATAGAATAAAAATAAATAAATAAATGGCTACACAACTATTTTTTATTTTTTATTATTATTTTTAAAAAGGCTAGGTCCATTGGTTCGCTAGCCATCTGAATCGTGATGGTAGTGTAAGCCTCCAAAGTGGAGAGCCTCACACCATTATGTTTGGTTCACTGAAGAGCCTTATGAGCCCCCACATCTCAATACCCACGTGATATGTGCCCCATTAGAGGATATTGTATAATATAGAGAAAAGAGGTTTAGGGCTTGCTTGGTTTGTAACTTTGAAAATAATTTTTATTTTCAAAGAGCTGAAATTAAACATTCTATTTGGTTCAGTTTTTTGAAAACTGATTTATGAAAATCCTAAAAAGGACTGTTTTCAGATAATTATCTTTTATAGTTCTCTAAAAACAGTTTTTTATTTTCTGAGTTGTTGAGAATTATTTTCATAATTACAAATCAAGTAGGCCCTTAGTGAAGCGGAATGCACCAGTAACTAGTGAAACCTGGGAGGGAGGACCTCTGGGCCCCATTACTGTTATTATTATTTTACATTTATACACGTACATATAATTTTGTGAAGAATTCCTTCCTTAAAAATACTTTTTTTCCTGTAAAAATCTCTCTAGTTCATTAAATTATTAGTATTTTTTATTCTCTTTCAATATATAAATAAATGAAAATGAATTCCCTTTCTTCAAAGTCTAATTTTTTTCTCCTTCAAAGTTCTATATTTCTTTGCTTTTTATTTTCTTCTTCTTTTATTTTTTAATCCTTCTTCCACTTATGTATATAATGTATATACAGTAATCTTCTTTTCTCTCTTCTTATTCTTCCTTTTGTCTTATATTATTCTATAAATTTATTACTAGAATTTTATAGTGTTAAGGCTTATTTGTGTTTTTGTTGCCAAATTAACGAAAAAGAAAAACAAGTATGAAATATAAATTGTTGACAAGCATACCTGTAATGTCCGTATTTTATTTTATTTTTTGAATTTTACCATACTATTTGAATCTTGATTATTATAAAGTTCTATTTTTGTCAGGTATGTTGCACTGTTTATTAGATGGACATGCATGTATCCTGAATAGGGCCAACTCGAAATTTAAATTGTTGGACAGGTATGAGTTTGAACTTTTACTCCTTTTGCCACCATCAATTATTGAAGCATGATGCTGGTATAAAACTTTTCTTCGGTGCTGCAACAAAAGTGTTGGACTGAGTAATGGCATTATAGGATACAACCATGAATTGAGAATGATTTTCATTGCAAAGAAAAATTCAATTCCCTTTTTTCAAAATTCAAGAAAAATGAAAATAATCTATACGGGAATTGCTGATACATATGCGTACAAATATTTTCATTCTTTCAACTGAATTTTCAAAATGCAAATTAAGCACTATCAACAAAAAGCACCATCCACAGCGTAGTAGAGTCGAATCCTAATTTTGCTCACTAAGAACTACGCTATCATGCAGCCTCAGTCTTAAATTTTTTTTATTTTTTTGATAGAATCTAAGAATTTTATTATTATATTCAAAAGCACCGGCCGAACTCTTTTGAATGCACTTTTATGCATCCTAGCTATATTAATCCATCCATGCATGCCCTGATTTGTATTCGAAATGCCCAAGTACTGGTGGAGAAATATATGGTAGCTTTAAGATCTTCTTTGATGAACTCTATAAATATTCCATTCAACTTCATATATATATATATATATATATACTACTTTATAATTACAATATATATACGATGCTAGCTCTCACTTTGTTCCTATATCAACAATCCAACATCAGACACAACAACTGAATCAAGTATAGTAAGAAAATGTTTATATGGAGGATTAGAATTGTAAGTGTTCCTCTGTCTGAAGAGCAGATCAAGGGTCTTCTCAAGAGATATGACACCAACAGAGACGGCAAGCTTAGTAGGGAAGAGCTGAAGTCGGCCTTCAAAAGCCTAGGTTTGCATTTCAGCGGCTGCAGAGCTAGACGCGCACTTCGCCACGCAGATGCCAATGAAGATGGTTTTGTCAGTGAAGAAGAGTTGAATGAGCTTGTCAGGTATGCCAATTCCAAATGGGGATTTACTATCAGCTAGACTCTGTTGTAGTGGAAGACTGGAGGGTCTAATATGTTTAGCGGCTACTTATAATTAGGTTCCAAAGCTGCAGCTTTCTTGTGTATGGGAAAAGCATGCGTAATTAATAGACAGTAAAAATGTTTTGAGAAATTTTAAAAAAAAAATTAATTTTCAGTCAAATTTAAACATGTAAATTTAATATCAGCTATATATATATGTTACATGTCACCGGACTCATGACCAGAAGAAAATTCTACGAGTACACAGACTTGACGAAATGTGAAAATGAATCCTGTACGAGAATTTTGTGAGGGAGGGCGACTTTTTAATTTGCTGGGACAAATTTATATAGCAGGTCTATTATTAAAATTTCAATAGGATTTTCTTCATAAATTTGAAATTCTTTATGGCCTTTGGAGGGACAAAAATGTTAATTTCTTTTTTAGTCTCCAAATCAACTATTCATATTGATTGATGAATTGATTAGGGGCAATATATATATATATATATATATATATATATTTGTTTTTTTTCAGCCTCCAAATCAACTATCGATATTGATTCATGAATTGAGGTTCTTTTATGGTCTCAACTATGTTTCTTGTGTCAATTTTTGGAGTCAGGATTCCAGACTCCAGAGTTCACAATTTTAAGGTGTCAATATTACAGTAGTCATTCATTTATTATTTTAAAGTAAGAATAAATAAAAATTATGCTTCCTTTTTCAGAAATGCATCAAATGCATATGTACAAATTCGCATGTGCCGTGTTGCCGAGTGGTTGGGTTGTTGTCCGTGTCTAGGTGTCCGTATTCGAATGGTGCGTTCTCTCCTCTCCTTTAACCATTAACCCCCAACGTATACTTGTTAAAAAGTGCAAAAATTCAAAGGATTCCATTTTCCAAACAACTTCAACTTGTATTATGATATATCATTTTTTCCATAATAAAAATTAAAGATTAAACTGTTGATGAAGAAGAAGCTAATCCTAATATTGTTCACAATAATCTATGTTATTTCTCTTGCTATCTTTCAAAAGATAAAAAGTGACTACTTGAACTCTTTTCGCGACACTTTTTCAAAGATGCATTCTACAACGAGGAGAAGAATTTATCCATGCTTTCAGAGCCATGTAATTAATTAATCTCTTAAGAAATGAGCTAGATACTCCTCATAGTTCCAATAATAAAGTTAAGCACTACCCACAGAGGTTAAAATCAAGAATTAAGAAGCTAATCCTGATCTTGCTGATTAATTTTATGATTATGCTATTCTCTTGCCTTATAGTTTCGGTGTATATATTTTTACCACTTAAAAATCTTATTTAGTGTCATATTCCCGTCAAAAGCACCTCTTCTTGAGAAACTTTTTCAAAAATGCATCGTACCATGTGGAGGAAGAATTTACCCATGCGTCGAGAGGCATGCAATTAATCACCTATGAATAAGATCAAGACAATCATCATTTTCCCATTCTATTTACAAGTGCTGCTATTAAAATTTAATATAATAATCTGAGCCACGGTCCGTCAACAACCTAGATTCGCCTCCTTTTTTTTTTTTTTTTTTTTTTGTGAGAATTTATTACATGGTTTCGAGACCATAGTCAATCTGTGGCGACTTTGTGAGCGGGTGTGAGCAGGTTACCACAATGGACGAGCTATGGATGCACAATTCCACATCGCCTGAGTAAGGAAAAGGCGAAGTGCTTATATGCAGGTGTGTAACTCCAATTGGTATAAAACTTTTTGGGGTAAAACTCAAAAGTAAAATCGTGCGGGCTCAGAATCAAAGCGGACAATATCATACCATGTGAACTAAAGCGGATAATATCATACCATATGATGGAATGAGTGATTACAAATAGTATCAGAACCTGACCAGCCCGAAGTGTGGCCAACAAAGCCCTTAGGGTCCAAAAAGGAGTAATTGTTGCTTGCTATGCACATCCAGATAGAGTAGGACTTACATCAACCATGCACATTATCCATATATAGAGACAGAGGTATCTTTTGACCAGATATCTTTTATATCTAAATGCTTTAAGATACTGGTATAAGATATGTTACAAGTAGAACTTATCCACCAAAAGGAGAAGAATATTCAGGTCCGAAATATCTGCACTACTTTTTCACTATATAAGATGTTCAGACTTGTTTCCTAAGTACATAGTCCACCTCCCCAATATAGACACTAATTAAGGCCAAAGCTAAGTATAGCAGCAAGATGCCTCATTGGATTAATAAATGTGAGAATGTGCCCCTGTCCGAAGAGCCCATTAAGGGTCTTCTCAAGAGATACGACACCAACCAAGACGGCAAGCTTAGTAGGGAAGAGCTGAAGGTGGCCTTCAAAAGCCTAGGTTTGCGTTTCAGCGGCAGGAGAGCTCGACGTGCTCTTTGTCATGCCGATGCCAATGCAGATGGATCTATCAGTGAAGAAGAGATGAATGAGCTTGTCAAGTATGCTTCCAAATGGGGTTTTACTATCAATTAGCTAGCTAGACTTTAGTTCGTTGTATGTCATGTGGGGTCTAAACTGTTGTGTAGCTTCTTAGATTTGGGTTGTGCTTTGAAGGTCGCTTTGTTGTATGTTTATATAATCTAATATCGTTTGCAAGTAGTCTTCTATTTTGTTTATTAATTTTCTTTGTTATGGTCCCAGTATAACGAAACAAGCTACTGCTAGTATAATGTCACGGATTTTTGTTCCACATCTTGGAGATGAAGTAAGTTATGGGCAACAACGGAGGAGAAATCAGTAATTAACCGTTTAATCTTTTTGGTTGGATAACAATTTTCCGTGAGCCAACTCCTATGGATTTCTTTTCTTTTATAACAAATGGTTTCTTATTTCATTTTGGAATCACCTATTTTGCGTACCACCAGAGCACCATCACTGGTTCATTAGCCATGTAATTTCTTAACGAGAATAAATACTACAGCATTATGTTTAAAAAAATTACTAAAGAATTATGTTACACCCTAAAAGTCCTAGGAAGATTGAGGCATTTCGAAGTATGTGAGATATAAATTTGTCTGTTGGCATATTTTAGAGTCAAAACTTGAGGATCGAATTGTATTTTTGTATATTTTGAGTCTCCATTTTTTGTAGTTGAAGTACAAGTCCCTCGTATATTAAATTGGATGAGAACATGATTTATATTAAGTATGTGAGTGAGGACGCATTGCAGTTATATATTCTGATTTAGTTGCAAGAGCATTAAACTTTTATAGTCAAACAAGTCTATTTTTAGTCCTCAATAAAAGCACAATCGATTGCACTTCAAATAAAGTCAAACTATAGCCCTCGGTCAAAACAGAACTGATTTTGTTAAATGAGCCGTATTTATCTTCTGGCAACTTTTCAGTTTCCTATTTTTTACCAAAAACACTAGTTAGGAAAGTCCTAGTTCGTTTGTAAAATATATTTTACTCTTTACGAGGACTCCTTAGCATTTATATTCTGGCCTCTTATATTTCTAATCCTATGGTAGAAATTAGTTGCTTCAATTGGAAAAACAAACTTTTCAAACATTGAAGATATTCTTCTACTGATCAACGAAATCTTCAAAGTCTACATCAAATTACAGAGATTGATCAGCTCAGTAGGGTTTTCCTCTGGCCTTTACATAATTCATATCCGAAGAAAGAGGAAGAATTAATTACTCTACGAAAGCTTTAGAGCATTAATTCGTGTCACGCCCCAAAAATTCTAACACAAGAACTCTTATCTTATACTAAAATCTGGTACGTGACTTACATCATTCATTCACACTCATTTTCACATTTTTTGTTTTGTCGATACTACTCACTTTTCGTCCTTTTTCCTATTTTGTCTTTTCCCCATTTGTCACTTTGTTGGCATAACCTAACTTTTTGTATTCGGAGTTGGTTTTTGACTTAACGTATCTTCATTCTAAGTGGTTTCCACAAAATATGTATCTTTACTTTTGCAGTAAAGTACTCTGGTTACTCTTGGTGTCCATAGGGGTATGGATGCCTATTTTTTCATAATCTTTTTCTTTTCTTGGGGTGTTTTTCGTAAATATCTTTTGAAGATATTTTATTTCAGGGGTTTTTAAGAAAATATTTTTGGAAGATATTTTCATTCTGGCCATTAGTGCAGTTTTAACTTTTTAGAGGGGCCATTGTGCAATTAATGAAAGTTATTGCTAAATGCCTTATTTTGAGCCTGGATCCTCATACGGGATTCATTTTCGCTTTTCGTCGACTCGCGTACTCTTAGAATTCCCTTCTGGTCGTTTTTCTCCAGTTTTAGGGTTTCTGCCCCTAGTTGCCGCCGAGCTTGTTCGGGGCATATCTCTTTACTCAGAACTCAGTTTTTGACGCCGTTTCTTCCGTTGTTCATATTTTCTCATTTTTGTTCTTTTTTGTTCACGGAATTTTTCCATTTGAGCTCGTCTACTCAAATTCCACTTTTCTGGACCTGGCGGGGCCCTTTCGGGGCACTTTTTGAGATTTCTATAAATAGGTTGCCCCAATTTAAAAAGTTAACTTTTCAGCCTTCTTCTCCACTTCATGGCTGGCAGCCATGGCAGCCCAAGGGGCTGCCACCTTTCTTTCTTCCTCTCCACTTGCATGCCTTTGTAAAAAATCTTCCACCTTAACGTTTAACGTAAGTTTCGTCATGCTCTTCCTTTCCCCCTTATTAGAACCCATTTCTGACCATTTTGTGAGTTCGGGTTTGAAGTCAAGTTGTGATTTTCATGGGGCTTCCTTGGTATTCTTGTTCACCGTATTGTCTCCGACAAAATCCCGAAGTATCGTTGGATTCAGAACACTTTTCTTTCGGTGGGGATTTAAGATTTTCATCTCAAATTGAGGTAGGGGATGTTATAGGTTTATATTTTTGTTGTCTTGCATACTATTGATGCTTATACAACTTGTATGCATGCTTTTGTTCAGAATCTAGAATTTAATTTAATTAATTTCTATGTTTAAGATTTAATTCACATGATGATATCCAACTTAGAATTAAATTATAGCATGCTAGTAAATTAGGCTTTGGCATGTTTGTTAACATATATTAAAAGTGGAGTATTTGATAAAGTATTGCAACTTTTATTTAATAATTTTCTTTAGTGAAAGTTTAATTATAATGGTCGTACCTTGTATGGAAATAACTTATGATATGCTTTTAAATTAAGTTTTGGCATGTTCTTTAACATACTTTATTTTGAGAGCATTTGGATAAGTTTAAAAATCTAGAGATTTTAATTAAATGGATTAATTAAAATCTATTTAAATGTTCTATTGGTTTAATTAAGTTTTTAATTTGATATTTGTAATGAGTACGATTTGTTTACTAGCATATATTAATTTGGGATCATTTGAGGTTGTTTTAGAATCTAGGGATTTAATTATCATGATTTAATTAAATTTCTACCTTGTTGTTCCATTGGCTTAATTAAGATTTTAATGGATGTATGTAATGACCTGGCTATGTGGTTTAACATGTGTTAATTAGGGGTCATTTAATTGAGATTTGAAACTTAGAGAAATTAATTAGGTTATGTAAATAATTTTTGTTTCTATTGCGTTAATGATTTAACCATGTGTTTGACATTGATTGTATATTTAAATCATGATTTTTGACTTGTCTAAGATTTTTCAGTTTATGTTTTCAATATTGAATTATATTGTTATAGCGTGTAACGAATCGCACACTGAAGATTCAACATGTGATGTTATTATAGCGCGTAACGAATCGCGCTTTGAAAATTCGACATTTGTCATCCTATAGTAGTTATGGATTTAGAGCATAAGCTGTGTGGTTACAACCTACTTGTGCATGGAATGCAGTTTCGTGCTTTATATATATTTCGTATATAAGTTGTTAACTTATTTATTTTGGAGTCACTTAGGACATTGTTACAGAGACAAGGCTAGAGTTTGGCTCTAGTGCAGGAGGTATGAGTTCCTCCCATTTATAGTGCGCACTTTGGGTGGTATTCCCAACGGCTTAATGCCCGGAATAACCATAGGTCTTGGCTTTCTCTAAGATTTGATGTCCAAGTCTTCCACTACTTGATTTTGCATTCAATTCCAAGTTGGCAACCAATATTTAATTATGAGTTGTGGTTTTGGTTATTGGCGATTTAATGTTGTTAAGTACATTCAGGCATTATGATTTGTAATGAATCATTGTAGGTTTTGATGTTGTGAAGTACATTCAGGCATTATGATTTCTAATGAATCATTGCAGGTTTTTGATGTTGTTAAGTACATCTATGCTATATTGTTCAAAAACAACTTAGGAATGATCCTATACATTCATTTGGAATATAGACGTTAGGTGGCATGACCCACTTTAGTTGTTTTCGCATTTTAGATTTCAAGTCAATGGCTTTGAAGATCTATATCTTGTTGCTTTGTATAATATGCTTCTATATTGTTTGAATTGCATGAATAATGTGATTTATGTTAGAAATATTTTAAGGTAGCTTAGGATGCTCCCTGAGTCTCACCTTTGACATAGACGTTAGGTGGCATGACCTTTTTGAATTGTTATAAGTTAATGTAATAACTTTGTAAAACGTTAGATCGATACATGCTCATTACCTACGAGTAGCTTTATGTTACTCACCCACGTAGTGGGGACATTTTTCAGGTATAGGAATCAAGGTTGAGATTCTCATTATGCTTGGATGATTTGTAGACTTGAAGGTTCATTCTTGTAAAGGTTGGCTTGAAAAGCCATTTGTAGCCTTATTTGTCAAATGTGTATATTTGATTCTAAACTTGTAATGTGTGCCTAAGCACACTTTTTGATTCTCATTTTATGTATATAATATAAGGCCAAGGGCCAAACCGTATTTGAAATTCATGTATATTCGTAAATGTTGAAATCTTGCCTTTAATGAGAATATATGAGAAATTAGGGTTTTAGCATGACATTTTTGCACTGGAGTGTGCATCGGGTATGAAATTCATTATCTAGCATTCATTTAATATGTATAAGGTGTGGGTAAGGGCCAATCACCATTTTATTTTCATTTTTGCACTTTAGTTTCATACCTTACATTTTGAGTTAAAATAGTAAAATTCGAGCCTTTAAGGGTTCATTTCCAAATCAGGTGATGCAAAGTGTGCACGAGAACATTCATTAGAACCTACTTAATATGCATGAAATGTGGTCAAGGGCCAAACGGTAATTTGAAATCAGTTGTTAATTTTAGTTTTGAAATTCTCTATTTATAGTTCATTTTTGCCTTTTTGGCCGTAGGGGGGTTGAATTTTGCATCAGCGATATTTAAGCTGTGGACCATTGTAGCATGTCCTAATGGGTAAGTTACATTTGCGTGCATGATCGCTTTCAAGAAAAAACCTCATCCTTGGTTATTTGAGTTTCTTATGGACTCATTTTACATTTTTATTACATAATCTGATTTTAGGGCATTTTGGGGTTTTCAAGAAATTAATTCCGGTCTTCACTTGGTCACTTAGAAAATGTGATTTTAGGGGGGGCGGGGGGGGGGGGGGGGGGGGGGGGGGTTTCTTCTTTGCGTTTTCCCATAAAATGTTGTCTTGGTACTGGAAATCCCTCGTGTAGTTTAGCTTTCAGTTTTGCATTTTAGCAGCTTTTTAGCCCTCCTGATCTAATTTCTTGGAGGGGCATTTTGGCTATTTTACAGCGAATTTTTTTTTTCATTTTCTTCCACGTTACCTAGTAGAAAATTTGATTTTTGGGGGGGGGGGGGGGGGGTTTCTTTTTTGTATTTTTCCAGAAAAATTCGTTTCG